CCTACCGAAAAGCAAAAAACCCCAACCCCACAAACCCTAACCCTACCCTCAACCCCCAACCCCAACAAGACAAGGCTCACACGCTCCTGGGGAATCCGGAATAGGTATAGGTGGGATGGTAAGGATAAACAATGACATGAAAAGAAACTAGAGTTAGCATAGATCTGGCAGATCCAATTATGACATAAAAACTAGAAATGCAAGAGATGCAGACATAGTTAAACAGACACACACACAGCACAAATGAACTAGAAGAAAGCAAAAGATACACTAGATCGACAGAAGCATAAAAGAGAATCAAAGGGAAAGCACGATTCAACAAGCAAACAAGCAGACTCCAACTAGTGGAACGGGACTCTAGAAAGAGAAAATATTCCAAGAAGGAAACTCTTAAAATTTGTGAGTTTCAATAATAGTCAATATTCAAGTTTCAAATGGATAGGGGTACTTACCCCAGCCTTCTCTGTTGTTTGCTATCCATGATTGAAGCCTAAGAATAATGTTAGGCCCGCTACACGCAAGATTGTATTCTCCAATAAGAAGTGAAAGGGCCAAATAAAGCTTTCCAAAGGATTTGTGTTTCTTTTTTAAAAGCTTTGACAAAGTCAAGAATTTCTATCTGCGTCAATTTATATTTGTTTGTTTCTTTTTCCCAGAGATTTGACAAAGGAAGAAAATCGTCTGTATTTAAGTTAATGGAGCAAACAAAATAATAAAATCAGTTTTAGAGAGAAAAACACCGATAAATTTCCCTTTTTGATTTTGGAATGGCCTCCACTAATTTTGTTTGAATTGTAAATATTGTTAGTATACTATTGAATAATGTTATTTTGTAGAAGACGATGTCAAAAGGGACATTGAGCATATTTGTTCCGTTAGTAATCAAAGGAAGCAAACGTTAGGGGAGTATAACATTATCTTATCCTGACCACAAATCAAGAATAACAAATATAAAACTAATTTTTTTTTTAATAAAAAACTAATTTAGCCCCGTACAATCTCCCATTAGTCAATCTTTTATTATATCCATTTTTTTAATTATCATATTTTGTTATATCAACTAATTGTTTAATCATCAGCTATAATTCATCAGTTAATAAGATGACACTCTTTTGGTTTTGCTTGAATCTTGGCATCAAGTTATATTGCAAATAGATAAGAATGCTTCATTTCTATTTGCAAATACATAGTTCGCACCATCTCAAAGGATCTTACCAGCTTTTTTTATAATTGGATCACATGAAAATTATCCTTAAAGGTAGGATCAAATTTTTCGGATTGCTAATTGCAAAGGGTACAAATTCAAATTGATTAAATTGATCTCCTTGCCATAATGTGAGTCCCCCCACTTTTGAATATCAAAATCAACAGAAGATTTAAATTAGCACAAAAATTATAAAAAGCAGAGAAGATTATAGGAAAAATGCAGAAGCACAAGCACAACAATTTGCACAAGCCGTATAAATTCTTGAAAGAACAAAGATAAAGTCATGACTAATGAGCAGCTGCCATAAACTCAAACCATCGAAACATGAAGTTCTATAACTAAGAGGTGACAATTGTTAGGAAAAAGAAAAAAGAAAGAAAGAAAGAAACCCATTAATCAAAATAAGGTCAATTCATCCGATGAGAGGAAGAGATGTAGAGATCATCAGCTTTAACATGACTTCAATGAGTGTTTCAAACTCAGCTCGTCCGCAAACAGGCATTCCACTGGATCCAAAGATCGAACAAGAAATCAAACAAAACGTATGTATCAATTCCATTGATACTTAATTTGAAGTACAAGAAATCTTGATAATATACATGTTTCAGTTTTAGGCAGCAGAACCGTATTTCTCACGAGTCATGACTGAATATATCTTGATAATAAAATAAAACAGTAAAAGAAAAAGAAAAGAAAAAAATAAAATTACCTTGAAATCAAGCAGACTCAGACTCAATCATCAACCTCTGCTCTGATTTCCTTAACAAGCTCCTCCTTATATTCTTCGAACGAACCTGGGAAGGCCTTGACAGTTCCATTCTTCACCTCCCATATTTCACTCCTCTCCTCATCTTCACAGACACGAGATATGAGCCTCGAGTCATGACTCACCAGTACAACTCCACCACTGAACTCATCAAGTGCATCTGCCAAGGCATCGATACTCTGCATATCCAAATGATTGGTCGGTTCATCTAAAAGCAGAATATGCGGCTTGGCCATGGATATAGAAGCAAACACAACCCGAGCTTTCTGCCCTCCAGATAGCTTTGCAATTGGTGTTAAATGATTATGGCTCGGAAGTCCAAATTTGCCGAGCTTCGCCCTAACAGCCTCCTGCTTGCTGAGTCCTTCTTGATCTGGATGCAAACGAAGAAGATATTGTACTGGAGTCTCGTTCATCGTCAGTAGATCGACAAAATGCTGCGAATATCTACCGATTCTTAGTTTCTGACTTCTTCTTACTTCGCCTTCGCTCGGTTCTAAATCTCCGGCAAGTAGGTTGAGCAGGGTCGATTTTCCAGCTCCGTTTGGCCCAACTATAGCGACACGAGTCCCCATATCAATACCGACATCAACATTCGAGAGCCTGAAATCCTTTCTGTTAGGATAACTAAAGCTAACTTCAATCAACTGCAAAAGCGGCGGCGTTAACTCCGTTGGCTCGGGAAAATGGAACTCAACAGTGTAGTCCCGCCATTTTTGTGGGGCCTCTGGTAAGGGCTCGTCTTCATCAACAACCTTGCCTTTACCTTTATTTTTCGAGGCTTCTTTTGCAGCATTGAATTTGGCTCGGTCCTTGACTTTCTCCTGCTGCGCCCGACTCCCGGACCTCTTGGCAGCCTTTACCTGCTTGTCGTAAATCTCGAACTTCTTATTCATCTCTTTCCGGCGCTGCTCGTACCCGACTTCAAATTCATCGAAATTTCCCCTATATAGATGGAGTTTCATATCGTGAAGGTGGATAATTTCGTTGCAAACGGTGTTGAGAAAATCACGATCATGCGAAACAACCACTAGAGTTTTCTTCCATCTGCACAAGTACTCTTCTAGCCACAACACTGCCCTTAGGTCGAGATGATTGGTAGGTTCGTCCAGAAGTAAAAGAGTCGGCTGAACGAAAAGTGCTCGGGCCAACGAAATCCTCATTCTCCAACCGCCACTGAAAGACCGCGTGGCACGGCACTGCATGTCTTTCGTAAAACCCAAGCCAGCAAGAATCTTCGATGCCTGAGCCTCGGCAGCATCCGAACCCATCAACTGCAACTTCTCGTAAAGTTCCGAAAGCTTCCCGCCCGCATCATCTTCTTCTTCGCCAGCTGGCACGTTCGATGCATCATCCTGCAAGGACGCGACTTCTTGCCGAAGCTTAATTAGTTCTTCATTTGCCGAAACAACTGCTTCGAGCGCCGTTCGGTCATCACCGACGACTTCTTGCTCGACCAAAAGCACGTCGATGTTTTTAGGCACGGGTATTTTCCTCCAAGCGAGAAGCTTTAGCAAGGTAGACTTACCCTTACCGTTAGGCCCAACCAGCCCATATCTCTTACCGTGAGAAATTTTAACCGATGCATTCTTCAAGAGCTCCTTCCCGCGAGCGGACACGGAGAAGTTATCGATAGTTATATCTTTGACGTTCGCATCGGCTTCATCCTCACCATCAAGAACAGAAGCTCGACTACCAATTACCACAGTAAATGCATCACGGTCATCCATGAGGGCCTCCTGCTTCGCCAGCTCAGCAGCCTGGTTAGCGAACAGATCCTTCTTTTCTCGTTTTTTCAACTCTTTGTTGCTAATGTTAATATCGAGGGGTCTCGATTCAGTTCTAGTCTGCCGGGAAGGGTTTCTATGGGAATCATATTGCTTTTGTTCTTCCTCAGAGCCCAACATATCATCTTCCTCCTCGTCAGAGGACGGAAGGTCGATCCCATCTGTATAAGACGAGAGTTTCGGCGCAGCTTTGGGTTTTGGTTTACTAGAAGTTGGTCCTTTCTTTGGCTTATCAGGCTTCGAGTCCATGCTGGCAAGCATTGCAGATACTGAGAGCTTCTCTTTACTACTCTGCTTAGCCTTTGTGCCAGCAGCACTTTCATCGGATTTTTTCTTTCCCATAGTGCTTCCTGGTCGACAGAGATAAAACGTAAGCCATCAATTTCTTTTAGCCAAAGAAAAAAAAATGAAAAAGAAAAAAAAAATACAATAGATTGAACAGACAACACAAAACCACAATCGTCTACACGATCATATACTCACTCACAGAAGTATTGATAGATTAATTAAAGTAATGATAAAAGGTAAACTGAAAGAAACAAAGACTTACCAGCTGCTAGGGTTATCAAAAGTATGGGATTTCTGGGAGAGGTGGCGAGGATAGTGACGGCCAATAGGAGATAGACACAGGTGGCTGATGGTGGTGATCGGTGTGCAGAGGCGGCAGACGGCGCTTCCCGTGGCTGAGAGAGAGAGAGATGATAGTTGATTAGTTGTATACAATCGGCGGTGAGGGAAAGGATTAAGAAAAGATGGGAGCTTGGAAATAATAGAAAATTATATATTAATTTACCTTTTTAGCTATCGAGTCAGTCCGATTCGTTAATTAAAGAAACTTTAAATGAATTCGTGTCAATCGAGCGAGTCCGGCTCATTAACTAAAACTATTGTATTCAATTAAGGTTT